GCACATAGTTAGCAGTATAAGAGTAAACTGAAAACTATATTTTTCAAAAAGATTAAATGAAGAATGTGTTTTTTGAGCTTACATTTTTTTGGTGCAAATTTTAAAATTTAAAATACCTCATGTGACTACTTATGCTGTGATTTTTTTTATTTACATGCAATACCCTCACTTTTTTATGGTGACTTGTTAGAAATGTTGCCTGAAAGGTCCTAGTCTATTGACCCTAACGTCTAGAAGGTATTGAGTTTTTTCCCAAGATTCTGCTGTTCCTGGACTAGTTTTTCTACAAATGAGTATAACATAGTTTTTTCAAGTAGTTAATTGTATCTGAAGCCTAGTCATATGGATACTAGAAGACCAAGGTCAAAACATTTTGATTGTCCTGAATGGATTATTTCAGTACAATTTGGAAAAAATGTACAACATTGAATGTAATCTTCTTTTTCAGCTATTTCTAGCTAGAAAAAAAGTGCAGATTCAGGTGTAGACTACTGTTTGGCCTTTTCCCAGGCTTCTGTGAAGACTGTTAGCAAATGAAAGGGTTAAAAGTTTATTGAGCAATTAGTAAAACAATTTCATAATCAAAAAATCATATAACATAATTTAAACCAAGCCACAGAATAGTTTGGATGGTGAATTAGTACATCTGGAGCTTCAATGAATGACTACACCAAAGTTACGCACACTTTACATTTCAGTAGTAATAAAGAACCTGAAATATCTTGATTCTTCATTTATCACATTATCACAAGATAAATACAGTGTCTGAGCTTTGATGTAAATACAGACTCTGTTTTTTTCTGCTGTGGTACCTTACCTATATACTATCAGTGACCTAAATATTTTGCACAGAACTATACAGCGGGGTATTTTCTGTGGTTTTTTTCACATATTGTGAGTCTCATAGCCTTATATTTGGACAACGGTCTAATAGGACATGTATTTCTGATGTCACCACCAGCATATCCATTTATTCAATTGTATGAGTTATTAGTATTTTGCATTAATGAAATAGTATACAGTGGCACCACTGAAGGTCCTAGTGAGGAATTGCAGCTTTCTTTACATTGTTGGGGTGGGCAAAGGACACACTACAATTTTTTTCTGGGATTAGTGCGTGAAAAGACATCAATCAGGTATTTGAGATTCACCATGCTTCATTAGAAAATCCCCAAACTTATTCTGAGAAAGCTCCCATATAGTTAAACATGAGGTTCAAACACTTTGAGCAGGTAAGCATAACTATGAATCATAATCTGATAGGTCCAAAACCAATTTATTTTTCATATTCTATTTTTTGTTTATAATGTGATGGTAAAGAACTTTTTTTTTGCATGTGTTTGTTATTTGCAGTTGCACTGAAATTGTTTCAGTCAATGAGCTTTTTCTGAAAAATACCATCAGTAATCACACATTGACTAGCTGCAGCAGAAAATGTGTTTGTGTTGTGTGTTGTACTTTTCTTTCTCCAATATAACAGGAAATTAGGAGGATGAATTCTGCCCCACAATCTAGCTTGATAGAGTAAAGAATGATACTTGATACTTCAAAAAAGGGGCTGCCTTCATGCATTAGTTTCAAGATCACTCCTTGAAGCAGTTATGACTGATTGTGTGAATAGAGACAATCAGTTTCAGCAGGGGCATGAATTACCAAGTTGTGCTCATACACTGGTATTCTTATATTACTAAAGCTTACTTACCTTTAGTGAACTTAATAACCTGAAACGTCTTGAATGAAGTCTTATATAAAATGTAACTATTTTTCCATATCTAAAGTTTCCTTTAAAAATGTGAATACATGTTCTTCTTCCTAAACCCCTTCATTCTTTCACCAAATGTGCTTGCTTTAAATTCATTGCTTTTTCCACTGTATAAACTAGGTGGATTTGAATACTTACAGGAAGAATCTAAAGCATTTGGTTGTTATTAATATGGAGATAGCTGACTCGCACATGCAAAAAATTAAAGAAACTTACAAATGTTCAAGTGATTTTTGTTTTGTTTTGGGGTTACACAGCACCAAACCACATCCTGTAGTACACTGGATCTTTTTCCTTTTTATTTTTATTGTGCAGTATTATTTCAGGTTAATAAAACAGACAAGGACAATACTCTTATTGTCTATCCCCATATTTTATTATTTTTATTTAAATATAACATAATATACATTGTTGCTCAGTGATTTTTGTTTCCCTTTTTTAAATTCCTCCCCATTTTCCTTTTACCCAGGAGTCTCTTATGCTGAGGGTGACAGAAAACAGAGCTTATGGTTGAGGATCTGAGATACTCTAGATAGAGTGTCTGCAGTTTGCTCCCACTGCAGTGGGCATTACAGTATACCAAACACACAGGAATCATTGATTCCTTCAAGTTTTTTTTAATTTTGGTTAATTTTCAGAAACCACTATTCATGTCACAAATGGCTCCTGACTTACTTTGGAAAAGTGGTATTTCCCAATTTTAGCCTCTGCGCAGCACTGTATTTTGAGTCCTATGACAATATTTATGCATAATCCCTCCCCAGACCAAGTCATCTAGGTAATTCTGCCAACAGAGAATTTCATTTGTACCCTAAATTTTCTTTAAGTGGTCATCCAATGCTATATTTGCCCAAGCTCACATTGAATGTTCACCGCAGGTGATCCATTTTGTCTTGTCAGTTTTAATTATTGGTTACAAATTTTAAACAACAGCAACTCACTTTTACCATTGTAGTTAAGTTTTGCTGTGACCTGCAATTACATTTAAAATCTGAAATTCTTATTTCCCTTTCTAGAAAAATCTCATTTGTGAAGAAGCAAGCTGGAGATAAAGTACCATGAAATACAATGTCAGCTATCAGCTAAAATACTGTCTCTCAATGAGCTCCTGGTTTTAAAACAGTTGACTTAATTTAAGGACAGGAAATACAATCTGATCAGTTTGTATTTTATGGGAAACCTATTATTTTTTGCTTTTTTTTAAAAACAGCTAATATTTAAATAACAGATTAAGATTGAAGTGCTGGTTAAACATCGACTTAAATAAGTTATAGAAGATTCCAACAACACCAGCCTTTATAGAGGTTAAACATTCTCAAAAAGACACATTAAGCAAGGCTCTCCTTTGTACCAAAATACAGTTTCCAAACAATAAAAATAAAACAAACTTTTTCACAACAAGAAATATTGAAGATAAAACTGCAGCATCAATATAATCTCATAGTTATCACTTAAAGTATTTAGAACAAAATAATATTATACTACTTTTGTTTCTTACTAAAGACACTGCAAACGCTTATTTATTTAGTGGAATACAATGTGAAGACAGTGGTACAAATTGTTTGATGTACTGTTTTCTATTTATCTGCTCTAACAAAATGAATCTCAATATGGTTACATTGGTGAGCTATCCAGAGCTCTCTAAAATTAGAAAGTAAAGCAAAACATAAAACAAACCTTATGTACCTTTAATTGAACAGACTTCATATTATGCTTGACTTTGTTATGCTGCAGTTGCTCAAGTTAAGCCATGGGACTAGTAACACTTCGTAAAAATGTGCTGGATATTATGTATTTTGAGCCTTCAGTTACTATGATGGATATGAAAGGCATGCTAAAGCTGGATACCAGCACAGCTTTTTGGTTGGCTCTCATATATAATATACATGTGAGTAATAATCTCTGATAAATGCATGAGCATGATTTTGGATCTCCTGTCCCTCAGTTCTTAGTTAGGTATTGCTCCCACTATATGTCTGTGATTCTACCAGCTGGTAACAAGCACAAACGTACTGAATGGGCGTATTAACTGTATAAGGAGTGCAGGACTGTGTTGCCTTCTTACTTACCTTTCAGAGGCCAAATTTTACACTTGGGAATTACACATTGTTTAATTTTAACATTTGCAATCTTGGTGACTTTAACAGGGCTGTCCACATCTAGGTTCCAGCCTCATGCCTGTTGCAGAATATCGCACTGATTGCAATGCATTAGATCTTAGTTCCAAATTGAAATCAAAGTCAGATGAATATACACACAGATGCATTGACACCCAAGTACAGATGTGGCCCCTTCTCTCAATTTCAAAATAGCAGAAAGACCCTTTGAACCAAGTATTTCTTGAAGTTTGTTCTTGAGTGCTGATAAGTAAAAAAATTTCTCCAACATAAAGACACCCAGTATCATAAATCCAAGCACTGCTTGTTTGGTCTTTTTGCTTAAGTGCAAGACAGTTTAGGAAAAAAATGGATTATACACATTAAATTCTGCCTTTAAAGCCTTATCTAATACCTATTCTCAGAGTACTTCTGAGGTTTTGACATTTTAACCTATCAACCTCTGTGTGAAGTACTGAGAAAAAAGGAAAATAACAAAGAAGCAAATGAGGAAAACATTTCAAATCAAAAAGATATTTAACATCCTATTAAATAAATAACTTAGAGAGAAATAAAAAGAAATGAAGTTAGAACATACAAGCAAACCATACTATTCGTTTTGTTAGAACAGTTTTACACTACTTCGCTTATATTCCTTAATCCTATCCATTCTTCCACAAGGCTTCTCTAGAAATGTCATTATTTGTGCATATGACCCAAGTGCTTCCAGTAAATGCTTGCGTGTCTAACTGTTCATTGGATCATTAGGCTTGAATGAACAATTAAGGTCTTTGATATGAGTTAGTATTCTATAAATAACTTTCCCCATGAAGGTCATTCAACAGATTGTCTCAAGTCCCTTAAATTCTGTCACAGAGATTAAAAAAAATTGTTCACACTGGCAATAACTTCCATCCCATTTGATCCAGCTTGTATCTTGATTATAAGATATGACACTGAACTAAATAAAAGTATTTCATGTGCCAGCAATGAGTACAAAACCTTCAAAGGCTTCCCCTGCTCTCTTTTCAAACAAGCAGATGTCTGCACTATTTCTTTACATTTACTCTTCAAGAGGATTACCAAATATTCTTGACATAAGAGCCTTTGGTTCAACTTCATCAATAAAATTGTTCCTTCATCTATGACATTACTACCATTGGAAGAAAGTGAGCTGAAGTGTTTTTCCTTCTTGTTTTCTGCCCTCTCTTTGTGGCTCCTCTTCCATTCAGGGCCACAAACATTTGCCTTCCATTGTGCTTCCAATTTAAGGATGCATATGTGTTATACCCATTTTCTTCTATTCTTTCCTTCAATTTGCAATCACTGTTAAATTCCTTCTGTTAAAAAGAAAACAAATACACAAATTCAGAATAAACATAATCTTTCAGAGTTGCAGCATACTGAAGGTAAATAGTTTTTAAAAATGTTTTGGAAGATTTCAGTGTTCTGTATGTGACATCCTTTTAGGATTCTAGTGTATTTAAGGAAAAGTTTCACTGTGTCCACGAGATTTAAAGCAACATCAGTTAGACTGCAAAAAGTGCAGATGAAGAAGAAATCAACAAAAGACATAATCAATTATTCAGTGCGTAATTATAGCAGTGGAATTATATAATTCACTCACAGCTGAAATTAAACTTCTCTGTGTTGGAGTATGGCAAAAATATTAAATCAAATTCTCAGTCATAAACTTAAAGTATGAGGTAGCAATCTTGGAATCATTCATCATATTATAGTTCTAATAAATACAACCCTTAAATATCTGAAACCAGATTATTGACACCATATGTTAAACAAATATGCATGTCATAGGCCTACTTCTTATTTAAAGTAAGATCCTTTACAGCACACTGCCCATGAAAAAGGGCTTTTTCGGATGGGTACAAATCACTGTTATACTGCTGTTGCAATGGAGGTGAGGCCTGTTTACTTTGCTGACCTGAAGAGGGGCCTAGCCTAAAAAAAAATCATGTATGATCCAGTATCTTATTGACTAAATAAACTTGAAAGCAATTTTGTGTATGGTACCAGGGATTAAGGCTTTCTATTTTTAAGGGAGAACCAGTTGTCAGTTTGTTAGAAAGAATAAAAAATACAAGCATGTGGAAGCATGTAGGGGGAGACTATTTTTTTTCTATAATGTTAAATGCACTTTTACTGAGATCTCCTTCTCTATAATGAAGACAAGAATGCTTTGTTTTCACACACAAGTAACTCCTACATATGAAAACCCCCCAGTTTTATCAAGATACTTAGATTCCATTTAGAAGGCTTTTGGAAGTGGGACATTTACAACATAACTAAATTGCATCCAAAAATCAGCATTTTATTGTTTCTGCATTTCAGAAAATAAGATGTTATTTCACAGCTCAGGCAGAAGCATGTCAGAATCTCAGAGTCTGATATACTAACTACATGTGGTATTTTTAACATGTCTGCGAACCAGAAAAGAAATATGTCTGAATAATAAAACAATTTTCATAGTACAGATAAGAATTTCAGGGATGTTTTATCTTTTATTACAATCAAAATCCTTAGCTAGTAAATTCAGCTAGTAAAGATATAAAAAGTATCCACATTAATAAAAAAGGACATAAGAATATTAAAAAAATGTATTTTCCATTCCTATTACTTTATGACATAAGAATATTAAAAAAATGTATTTTCAATTTCTATTACTTTAAATTTGATTTTTTAAACTAGTTAATGTTCGGTATTTTGATACAGTAAGAATTTTTGTGTCTATAATTAATGTTTTACTTAGTTGCTGTTAAGACCACAGAACACATGCTTACAGAACTGCACATATTCAAATTCAATTTGGCTCCCAAAATGCTCTTTGACTTTGGGATTAGTAGTTAGTTGAGCAATGACTGTTGGGGAAGACACTACCAAGAGAAGATTCTCTATGAAATGACTCTTGATACTTCCTGTATTCACAAAGCTACATACAGATCATTTAATACTTATTTTCTGTAATGTGCCACCTCTGGCGTCAAGGTATTAAAAGGCAGGTGACTATCAATCACAGCAAAAAAAAAAAACAAACGCAGTAACTTCTCCTATCTGCCAGCAGCTTACTTTATTAAAGAAACCAAATAGTGAGTCTTCTTTTGCTGCCTTGTTCTAAACAAAGTCAGTCAAATGGAAACTTATTTGATAAACATAGAAACAGTCTTACTTGACTTGTTTTCCCAGATGCAGAATTGTACTTGAATCCAAACTTTTATCTCCATTCTTAGATAATACAGAGAGAACAGATGATGTTGTGATGTGGTTAAGAAGTTTTCTTGGAAGGGGTCTGAGTCTTAGCCCAGGACTGCTTTGCTCATTTCAAACAAATTTCTGCATAACCCTGCACCAATGTCTATTGTGCACATGCTTAAGAGTGTTTTCACAATTTTTATTGGTTCTGTTTTTCATATCCATCTGCAAGCTGTCACACTGTAGTAATATGAGTCTAACTGCAAGTCTTGGGAGGATGGGAAAAATAATAACAGAAGCATTCTTGAAATCTCTGAAGTATTATGGAATAGGTTTTGATAAGTCATTAAGTTGTGATTTTATGATGTGAATATTGAAAAATTATCTCAGCTGGAATTAAAAAAAAGGCTGTCCACATTCTTATCCTCCTGTCAACACTATTTCTAATACACTATGAATTACTGAATCTTATGGCAGCAGTTTCCACCTATGGTACATGAAAGCTGCTTTGACTTCTTTTGTGTGTATATAGGGTTGGGATGGAGTCTCACCACACCAGATGCAGCTAACAACTTGGGTAGGAAAACTTATCTCATGCTTTGGGATGGATCATCAAAAATGACTAAATTAAATGCTGTAAACTGAGATGTGTGAATTGAAGATAGTGATTTATGCTAACACCTTCACATATGTACAGAAGCATACCCATGATCCATGAGCGTAGCTTAACTGAGAAATGGTAACTTTGTCAGCAACTCAGTATACCCTTATACCTCTCAATGGTGCACGACTGAGTACTGCTTATCCTGTATTTCAGACCAGTGTAATCCTATAAGTTAAAATCCACATTTACAGGAATTTAAGAAATATTTCTCTGTTCTGGTCTTCTTTAATGTGATTCTCCAACACTGCCCAGGAGTTTAGAAAGTCAGGAGTAACTGAACCAGGAGTGACTAGCCACAGTGCAGATGAGGGAGGACAGTTTATAGTTTGTATGAACTAAACCCACTCTGTAGGAATGCTTCCTTAAAAAAGAAGGCCAAATGACTTCAAGCCCCTTCAGTCTCAGTTGAAACTGGCATTACTTCATTATTTTCAGCAGAGGTAGGAAGCTTAGCTACATTGTCCAAGAATAAATGCAGCCCCAGTACCTGTCTGTGACTTGCTCTCTTTAAAGCCTATGGATGTTCTGAATACTGAGCAATCTGAAGGTTGGCTCATAACCTTTGCAGATGACTTGAATATATTTACATTTATGTGGGCTCATACTCACTGGAACTGGCAAAAAGGTGCAAAATTACAAAGCAAACCAGATGTAAAACCAGAAAAATTTGGTGTTTGTGTAATAACGTGGTTGTGTGAGGGTACACTTGAGTTTAGTAGTCAGATTTATAGATCATATTGCTTCCTATTAAAAATATTTGGATAGTTACTGGGTTTTATTGTTGGTTTTTTGTGTTGTTTTTTTTGTGTGTTTTTTTTGTTGTTTTTTGTGTGTGTGTGTGTTTTGTTTTTTGTTTTGTTTTTTTGTTTGTTTGTTTGCTTGGTTTGGTTTTGTTTGGTTATTTTTTTTCCCCTGAAAGTATCACTAGCCCCAAACTTACACAAATACAAATATACAAATAGAGTATATATGGACAATTTTCAAATGATACTCAAATTCTGCTCAGTCAAAGCTTGTCTATGTGCTGATATAAGTCTATATCTCTCTGTACTGTCCATAATCTTGTGCATTAATTAATACAGTCAATTTAAAGCTGGCTACTCTAGAAATCTTCTTGGAAGACATAGTTTGATAACTTGGTGTGTCTGCTCCATCAGTTGAAGTTTCCAAGATTTCATTTGCAGTTTATCCTCCCCCAGAATCACTGCTAACTGTGACTGTACTGCAGAAAAATGGAAAAACAGCCCTAAAGACTACATTTTGTAGGACCCTCACCATCTTATTAAGTTTCTTATTACTTAATAAGAAACGCGGCTGAAGCAGTAAGCATGATAAATCTCAGAAGCTGCTTTGGTAGGATATGAGCTTAACCATCAACAGGGAGCTTGTGGAGAGGGGAGCTGCTGGTTTGCCAGAGGATGAAATTTTGATGAACACCTCATTGCAGCTCTAATTACTAGTAATACAGACAACTGGGGTTTTCAGTAGGTAAGAGAGGGAACTATGCGGACTACTACATTTGGAAGGTAAAAAAATACTTACAGAGCCGTAGACTTTTCCTTTCTTGTTCATGGCTAAATAATAGTTGCTCTTAATGGACTTAACTGCCACAACTCCAATTTCTACAGATGTTATCTCCAATATGCCTAAAAAATAAAAATTGAGCTATTTAATCACTTCATTAGAGGATTTTCTCACTGCAGAAATCACAATAAACCTGAAAAATACTAAAATAATATTCAGAACCAACAGACCAACAAACTTTAGCAAAATTCTTCTCTAAACCATTGCAACAATATACACAATCATTGTTTCAATTAATGTTTCCTTTGCTAACCCTGAATTTTAAACCCCATAAATGCTGAAACAGCTCCATTCTTCTTAGCATAGATTTTGCTAAAATTTATCAGAAGAGACATCTGAACCACAGCATTAAATTAAATCTATAGCACATGTCAATAGAATGTTAGATTTACCCCAATCTTCAAAAATAGTGGTAAATTATTTACAGTGGTAAACTATTTATTTTTTGTAAGACATTTAGATAAACTAAATCTCTTGGCTGCACTGAGCTGATAAATCCACTTTTGGCAAGTGTGTTGACATTTTGGGATATAGTAAGACTAACCCTAAAGGCCACATTATCTTTGTCTTTCAGATATCAGAAACATTTTGCTCTGTTTGTAATAAATATGATTAATTTTTTTTCTTTGAAACAAACTCTTTCTGCGATACTGGATGGCTAAAGGGGCCAATAATGGGAGACAGAGCTTTTGATCTCTATGTTTTCTGCCCAAGAACATACTGATTTGGGAGTAGTAGAAGTTACTACAACTTACACAGTGACTTTAGAGATCTCTTTTCAGCTATTACTAGACTAACTGGATGGCTATGTTGTTTGCACATCATGCCGTAATACAGGGTAAATATGGCTCCAACCAAATAACTTCTAAATGGTTGATGCGGGTAGTATGCCTGGCTCCAACATTTCTCCTGATATTAAAGTAGATATTATAGTAGCCAGAACAATAGCCCATCTCACTCAGTGGTCACTAAGGGTCTACCAATGGGGAAATTACAGGAGAGACAAAAATGTTGAGAAATTGTAAAGAACATCCTAGACCAAACCAACAAATAATGTGATCAATAGATCAGCTGGAAAAACCATTGGTGAGTTGCTACCTGCTTGAAAAAAAGAATCTGGAATAATTTCCTCCTAAATATGTTATATGTTTTTTGTCTGAGCAGGTTAGTGTTGGAAAATCCCTATGTTTTTTTATTTACTTAAAAATTCCTTATGGTAACCACACATCAACTGAAGCCAAGAGTGTAACTTGGTATTCAGTGTGTTTTCTGGAAATGCTGATTTTGTGTCCCTGAAAACTGAATGCAGTCTGTTCAGACTGTGGAACCATGTGGACTTTAGTGTGCAAAGGAGGAGGAAGTCCTTTCACTGTAAATTTTTTTTAAAATGGCAGCTTTATATACAATGCAAAAGCCATTCTCTAAGGCCATTCAACTGGTCTATGCAACTCAGGATGGAGGGTGTTACTTGTTCTGTGACTAGAAGTAGAGGCTTTGCTGTTAGCTGGGCAGTGGCTGTGAATCAAGCATGAAAAAATAATAGCTGATTTTTATCGGGAAGTAAACTGATGGCATAGTTTATGCACGTGAAGAAGAGAGAGAACATCAAACTAGGCAATTTAACATGAAAGACCTCCTTTTATTATCAAGAAAGGAGAAGTGGCCTTTCCTGGATGCATTTTTAAATACATATAAAATTCTATACTTTTATAAACTACATACATTTTGATATGAAGAGATAAAAATTCCAGTGCAATTACCAGACGTTTTGTGTTTACTTAGCAAGAAGCATTATGTTGGCCACAGCTACAAGGTCTATAGTCCTTGCATGTGAGAAAGACTTCAGTGAGAACTGCAAGATAAACAACAGTAGGTCTAGGATCTAGTAAAGCTGTTCAGAAAATGGACCATATTAAACCAGAAATAATAATACTAAAAAAAAGGTGTCTCATCCAAACCTATAAAGAGCTGAAAGTGGAGGATTATTTTGTTTAAATATTGATATCAAAATGCAAATGTAAATGTTGATAGACACAAACAATCATGTATTACTAAAAAAAAACCCCAACATGATAAAGCCTTCTGCCATAAGATTTTCATTGTAAGATTCTTAAATGCAGTATGAAAAATCAGCAGTGCTAAGGATGGTGTTGCACATATAAACTAAGAAAGCTTCAACCGTGCTGCGAAAGATCTGAATAGCCACTGAGCTTCTTACAGCCGTGTGAGAACAATGCTGCACTAATCGCCTCTCAAGCTTGAAACCCAGATTTGAACAAAATGAATACACAGTTACATATGGCACTGCAAGTCTGCTACCTGTGAGGGGATAAAAGCAACGGTTCCCAGATAAATTCACTCCATCATCAGCAGTATCCAGCTCAGTAGCAGCAAAGGCCCCTCTGATATCTGGAGCTGCCTAACTACTGTCAAGCAGAAAAGATACAGCCAGTTATTTAAATGAAAACTTTAAACACAGCTTCCATTAGTTACTTATATGTAATGTTAGCTTGAGAATTAGCACAAGGTTCTTAGGTGGAAGTAAGAGGAGCTATAACTTAGGGCAACTCTGTAATCTAGGAAGACCGAGAGAATGTGAAGGAAGTCAGTTAAGACCCATGACCTACTTTTAAGGCCATCTTGTCTCCTGTTGCAATGAGCCATATATCATTTTCCTTATGTAAGATGAAGGGAATTATACTCTCTAATCTCAAGAAAAGTTGTGAGAGCTCTTTAATTAGGTCTTGATAGTCAGCTCATATATATCAGTGTCATGCCATGGATACAAGCAGATCAGTGAGTCCATACTAGCCAAGGCCTATCATGCTTGTATTACTCTTAAATGTTGCTCATTTTCACAGCAAAAAAAAGCTGAAAATGCTTTCTTGATTTTCTGCAAGACCATTAATACAGAGCAGCGGTCTTTAGTATTTCTCTCCCATGGGACATCTCCTAAAGTCTTTGTGCTCAAAATGGGAGTTAAGTGGAGTGCCTTAAGTGATGTGGATGACAAACTATTAGAGTAACAATGTGATGCGAACACTGCTACAATGCCCACTTCTTTTTACAT